GGGGGTGTGCGGTATATTGCTTCCAAAGTCCTGAGTGACGCTAGAGGCACTGATTCTATGGGTTTGATGTTTTTTGGTTTTTGGCCTAACGATAACTACATATTCTTACAGGTGAAGATATGGTTTCAGAACAAACGCTCTAAGTTTAAGAAACTGCTGAAGCAGGGCAGTAACCCGCATGAGAGCGACCCCCTCCCGGGCTCGGCGGCCCTGTCACCGCGCTCGCCGGCGCTGCCCCCAGTGTGGGACGTTTCCGCCTCCGCCAAGGGTGTTAGTATGCCACCCAACAGCTACATGCCGGGCTATTCGCACTGGTACTCCTCTCCACACCAGGACACGATGCAGCGACCACAGATGATGTGAGTCTGCCCGGGGAGCTCACTACCCTAGGAAACTACCGGACAAGGCAAGGAGGCTCTGGGACCTGCTTGCATCTGCCAAACCGAGCCAAAGGAGCAGGCTCGGAGAACTGTGCGTGTGCAGTGAGGGACCTGCTGGGCTCTCTCTTTCTCTCTCCCCCATCTACTCACTCACTTCCTTTCTCACCATTCCCTCTCACCTTTCCTTTCTCACCCCTTCCTCCTTCCCCTCATACTTTTCCTTTCCATCTTACCAAGCCTTCTCCCTTGAGCAACCTCAGTAATTGATCTTGCATCTCAGAGAGAGAGAGGCCGAGGCTGGTTTCTGTGCCAGTACTCCAGAAACCCCTCACTGTAAGGATCTTTTCTCTTTCCCCTTGAGAATCCAGGCTTTGAGCCTCCTCTTCTCCATGGGAGTATCCATCAAAACGACTTTTTTTACAGACCTTTTTTCCCCAACGAGAAGAATCTGCACAATCATGGCAGCATTTTTACTTCTTTAATGAGTTTAAGACATTTCTTGATGAAGAAGCATTCTGGACTCCTGTGTTTTTATTTACCAATCTCAGAACTGACCAAAAAGAAGAAGAAGAGTAAAAGCTCTCATAAACAGACCTCTTCAAAAGAAAAAGGGGGATTTGGCTGTAAGATTAGAGTATTGCCACAAAAGGAATGCTGCATGTTTTATCAAAACAGAATGGGCAGAAGCGATGATAAAAACTACTCTTTCCCGACCCGAACCCCAACTCCTGAACTGGAATCAGGAAAGACAGAGAGAGGAGCGAACCCAAATCACCATTCTTTGGCTTTGACACCTTTACGAGGTGAATTGGTGGCATTCACTAAGCTGATAGGGACGTTTATATTGAGAAGCATTTCTGTATATATTGTTGAATTTTAGTTGTACATATACTTTGTATGTTTTTGTCTTCTTTCATATATGGAGTAAAAGCCACAAAATGCTGGGAGTGTCTTGTATATTTTTCTGTGTGTGTCTGTTCTCTCCCTCTTTCTCTCTTCACCCCCCTTCCAATGATATTTCCTATCATTCTTAAAACAAGTCCTATTTCCTAATATGGGAAGCCTTATATAGAAAACCAGAGATGCCAGTTTGCACTATTCGCCTTTTTCTTCAATACTTTAATGTCTAACAGGGGTCTGTTTTCAAGTTACTTTACCTGTAAAGTTTCTGTTGTCATTTCTACACTTTTATCTTTTTTTTTAAGCATCCGTATGCCTCCCTCCAGGTTAATCTAGACATTCAGTCATTCCCAGTGCTGAATCTGAGTATTCTCCTTTCCCTACCCCCAAGCCCAAATGATACAGTTGTGTCTGCCTTTGTTTAGAAGCATTTTTTAAAAAACAAAGAGGAAAGAATAAAAGATAAACAACAAATGAGCAGTTATGACTACTTAATGTTTGCAACCTTTTTCAAATTAGCTAAGTAGTACAATATACTATCCTGGATGAAATACATCCTTCCGACCTTGTGGAAAGCACAGAAATAATGAAAATCAAAAGTCCTTTCGTCATACAAGCAGGAAGCCCCATACTGCGAGAATTAATGGCTACAGACCTGGGCATCCTTCAAATTATGAACCTTGAAACCACTGAGCCATTTATCAGAAGTCAATAGAGATCCTCAGAGTGCTCCATATAATGACAGCGACATACAGTCGTGCAAAAGGACAGTCACTATAATTAGACACAAAGCAAAGACTACTTACCAATATACCCGTTCCTTTTTTTGTTGAGCAACTTCCACGCTCAGTCAGTCTTCAGAATGGTTTAAAACCGATCAGTCTTGTCATTTTCTAGCATTCGCATTGTTACATTAGGAAAAATGTTTTCTTTTCTTTTTTCCCCTTCCTACTGTGAAACTTTGGGTTCGTAGCTCCCCAGGATCAATTCTGAACAAAGCCTCCAGCTGCAGTGCCATCCAATTTGAAGCAGACATTGGGGACAATTTAAGGTTTTTATCCACAAGAAGGTTTTTTTCCATTCTCTTAAATGCAGCCATAATTAGAGTAATTTTTCATGTAGCCCGCTGATTACAGCGTTTTTACCGTCAAAGATAATTACCTGTAATTTTCTTCCACTTTTAATACTAAAAAGCCATCTTTATTTAGATTCAGGAACAGGAAAGGCGAAACAAAAGAGGGAAATTATTCTGTTATTCATACACAAATTGCAGAGACGTAGGACCTAAAATTGAAAATTAACCAAAATTATAATGCTGAAAAGAATGGAAGAGGCTGCAGAAGTACAGCTGGTAGTGGGGCTTTGCTGAATTATTCAAATGACGTTAGAGAACAAGCTACCATACATCGAAACCAACACTAATTTTTCTTTTAAAAAAATCCACTAGATACATGCCAAACCACTGTGAGTGCATGGAATTCTGAAACCCAAGCAAATGCATGTTAACATTGGAGGTGGTTGTCATGATGTGTACGTAGTAATCTCTCGGCTCGGATATCTTAGCAAATTTTTAATTAAATTCAGCCAAGGGGTCCTCCCAGAACTATCCTTGGAACAGGACTTCCCCTGGCTCTCCTGAATCCCAAGGGTTAATGCTTCACGTCTCTAACGGTGTAGACCCTACAGTAAACCGATTCCCCAGTGAGGGAAAAGTAGGAGGGGCTTAGCAGAAAGGGCTTCACCCAGTCACAGGGCCTACTACGCTCAAGAGATTCCCCAGCGGTTGCAGAGTTTTAGAGCCTTGTGCTGGCCTCCTTTCCCACTTTGAAAAAGAAGACTGCAGGGGTGGGGAGTGGGAGGGTGGGTGGAGGGGAGTGAGGCTGGGGGAGGAGGAAATGATTTCTCCTCTGCTCCAATAAGCATCTCATTATCTTTTGACACAACTTAGTCCAAAGGTTCCCTCTGCCTGAGAAAGGCCCTTCTGCACTGGGGTGGGGAGCCAAAGAGTCCTCAGCCTCCTGCACTTAACACCTCAGCTGCCTGCAAGTCTGCAGGGTCAGGAAACAGCGTCATCTATAGATAGAACAGCAAGACTTCCCGAGGAATCTTCCTTGGAGCAGAGTCTGAATCTAACTGGTTGGTAACATTGACTCCTTGGCTGGGCTCAGCGTTGTCTGCAGCCACCCCCACAGTCGTGTAACCTCACCATCCCATCCTTTTGGGCAACTCGGACAATAATGCCCCTACCCCCACCCCACCCGCACAGCACCATCCACCTTGGCATTCCGCCTCCCATTGCCTGCTTGCCCCAGACACAAACCAGCTGGAGGCAAAGGTCCTGCGAAGCAACCTGGAAGATTTTGAGAGGCCAGCTATTCTGGAAATCAAAATTTCCCCAAGAGAAGGATAGAAGTCGGAGGAGCTCCACACCCCAGGGATTCAGACACCTTCCGCACACCTGTGACACCTAAAGAGCCCCTACCGAGAGGACCCTTTTCTCTCTTGACTCCCCCAAACATAAAATCATCACCACAGGTAAAGGCCTCAATGGATTCACCTAGAACTAGCTTCCAGGTGCAATTCTTCAAGAGGATTTTAGCTTTCACACCCACCACATCTTGCAAGTAACCTGGTCCCTTCCCCAGGCTCTAGTCACAAGCTGCACCAAATACACCATCAACACAGAGAGCAAGAAAGACAAATCGAGTTCTTACGAATCCCACTCTAACCACCGGAGCATCCCCCTGACTCCAGAACCCAGCCCCTTTACCTTGAAAGGGTGATAAAACATCAGAATTGAAAAATCTCTAAGACAAATTTGTAGTTCATGGTAAATGACAACAGCAACACACAAAGCTTTGAGAGCAAGCAGTGGGAAAGACATCTGCACTGTCCTAGACGTACCCAAGAAATAAAAACTTACCCTCAGCGAAGAGTTCTTAAGCAATGTTCAAGGTCTAGAAATCTATACTGAACAGAAGCAGAAGAGAATATTTTTCTGAGTCTCAGGGCAGAAGCTCTTTCTCTATATTCTTGGTTGAGTGAGCACATCCAGGTGTGAAATTGTTTGCACACCCCAGCACCTCTTATATTGCCAGCAAAATTAGCTGTTATTACTGTCACTGTTTAGTGATGGTTAGCGTGATACAAAAAAAAAAAAAACCCTGCTGTAATCAAGACCTGGCGCATCTTTGCAAATTACAGATAATTGTAAACGTCCAGATTATGATAATAGCATCCTAATCCAGCCTGCAATATAATTATTACAGTGTTACATCTGAAACTGTCCAGTAGGGCTAATTCAGCCATTATTTAGACCCTATTTTTGCACTGCAAATGGGTTGCTGAGCTGAAAATGTACGATTGTAATTTCACAGGGCACTCAATGAGTAATGGTATAGGAAAGGGAAAATACAAAAGTGAAATGTGAACAGTAGCGATCAAATCAAACCCTGAAGGACAAAAGACTGTTTGATTCATATGGAAAAAGAAGAGCGGGAGTTAAGAAAATAGCGAATCAGTGGTCTGAAGCATGACGTGTCCAAATCTTCAATATGTGCAGGCTGAGGTGTTTGCAAAGGCTGCCTGCAGTCAGTGTCAGCTGCTGCATTGCAACGGAAGTAACTTCTTTCTATTTTTTTTTTTAAACCGCCTGTCTTTTTTACTCTCTCTTTCCCTGTTTTGTTTTGTTTTTCCCTTGTAAAGCACCCTTCCCCAAAGGAAAAAACATTCATCAGTTTCACCATTGTTTCCACAAAGTCTTCCTCCTCTGAGCATGCCTGTAATTTGCTTATGAACATTTTCTCAGATAATTTTGCAATCTTTCTTGTCATCAGAGGAAAACTAAATGTCCTGGGTGCTTGGAAGTGTTCCTGCATTCTATCTACCTTCTCTCTCATGGTGTCCATGTCTGTCATGGAGAGCCCTAAAGGATATTAACAGAAAACATGTTAATTGGTGCTAATTAAATAAAGCCGCCTAGGAAGCTGCCTCCTTCACTTGGCTTGGCTGGCTATTGGTTTTAATCCCATCATTAACTTTTATTAATCACCACCCCACCCCCACATAAACCAACCCAATTGCTTCTTTTGCTGCCAGGCTTCTTTCCGGGTTTCAGAAAGTCCATTCTGATGTTATTCATAAACACATCATCCGTGGGCCAGTTCTCTCTCCCAGACAATAGTTGTAAGAGTAGGGGAGAGGGGCTGTAAAAAAAAAGAGGGGGTTGAGAAGGAAGAGGGAAAGATAACAGAGCTGGGGAGACTTCTGGTTCCAAAGTTAAAGAA